AAAAAAAAAAAAGAAAAAAAAAATAGAACAAAGTTAATCTAGCAAATCCTCAAATAGTCTTCGCTTTAAAATATTCTTCTGTCTTCTCTTTTTTTTTTCTTCTCATTTTCTTCGTCGGCTCCTCTATGCCTTCGTTTTTCATGGATCACGCTTGACTTCCACCTCTACTTAGTTCGTTCAACAACTCTTCAAAAGAAGGAGGCAATAGCAGTCAAAATAATGACACGAACAGCAAAAAAAAAAGCCAAAATAGAAAAGGCACAAAAAAAGTGGTCTGAGCTTTCACTTAATTATATTGTATACGTACATATATATAAGGTACAGTAATAAATGTCATGTATATCTTTTTTTTTTTTATTTTTTGATTATACATTCAGCATGTGATAAAAATCAACGCTTCGTTGCACCTCATGTAATAACTGATAAACAGTGTTACATTTAAAAGCTAAAATAGATTAAGAAACATAAAAAAGTAATATTTTTTTGCTAAATGAATTGGTCTATAAGCAAAAATAAAATAGATAAACTTTTTTCAAGTCTATTTTTATCTGCAGCTATAATAACTCTGTTGCAAATGTTCTGCTGATAAAACTTTAAAAGAAAAAAAAAAAGAAGACAAACCTTTAGTTTGTCATCGGATAAAAATCAAGTTATGGGTTGACAATAAAGAAAACAACAACAGCAACAGCAACAAACTTCAAACAACAACCAACATCGACAACCAGCAACAACTCGGAGTTTAGACTGTTTGTTTAAGCAAAAAGAGACTCTTTCTTTGTCGTAACAACAAAAAACTGAAAAAAAAATAAGAAAAAAAAAACAACTGAGTCGCGTATTCACTGATACGGACTACCAGTCCACGACGGGTATATAACACCGACTTCAGATGTCCAGCCAACATCGACAGTTCATCAACCTCTCATTCCCCACACTGTACGTGTTCGGCAACAACAGCTACCACTGAGCCCTTCTCATCTATTAGCCAACGATAAAAATGATCTCATATTCTATTTGTATTATTGTTGTCAGCCTTATTACGGTAATTGAAAAAATCATTTTTTCCAAATATATTTTATCATTGTCATTTTCATTAAAACCAGATACTTACATTAAAGATTTGCTTAAATAACAAATTTTAAATCTAACTTATACGTCATACGAGCTGCAGTGCTGAGTAAATTTTGAGCTTAATATCTTTGCTTTTGCAATTTCTTTTGTGCTGTCTTCTTCTTTCCTAAGAGCTGCTTTTGTTCAGAGATAGTATCATACTTTAAAAATATCAATCAGTGCTTCAAAGTTTTTTGATGCTGAAATTGGTATAAAACCAAAGTATTTGTAATTCAGCTTAATTTTGTAAGATTATGTTTAGTTTCTTTCATTATTGTTCGATCAGATCAGAAATCATATTTTAGAATGTGCGACAAAAAAATTATGTTGTATTTTTGTTGAAGGATAAAATCAGTCAGAAGCATCAGGCTAAAACTTATTTTATAACGTCAATATAATCCTGATTTTTTCTTTTTTTGTAAAATTAAAGTACAGTCATCGTAGGTGTTTAAAAGAAAGTATAAGCTCTTTTTTTTCATAAAATGCTGCTAATAAAGCAATGTATCTGAGCTAAAAAACTTGTGGCAATTTTATTACTTAGTTGATTATAAATTTCTTATGTTTAAAATGTCAAAAAAATGATGCATACATATCTAATAATTTGATGACCGTGATAAAGGTATTGTTTTTATAGAACAGTTTGGGAGAGGTACCGACAATTCCGGAGGGCTTTACAACAGCAGTGCAGTGTAAGTGTGCTGATATTGAAAAATGCAGTGCTGAACTGACAGAACGAACGAACACTTGCAAAAAGGAGTAAGCAATATGAATAGTCCAATCCTTTTTTGATAATTGAAGTACTTCTTGAGATTAGTTGCGATATTCTTAACAATTTCATACGGTTTTTTTTGAAGGTTTTCTTTTTGTTGCCTGACAAGATTCCTTTATTGTATTTCTTTGAAATTCTTCTCTCTCAATTTTTTTTTCATTGTTTTAGGGTTTAGAGCTGTATTTAAGTGAAAAAAAATTGCTATCTATAGATCAGTGATACGCTGAGCAAATATCGACGTGAATAATTTAAGCAGTCATGTAGACCTTTAGTACCTGAACTAGTTTTAGACCACAGTGTGAATCATTTTTGAAAAAAGTTGGAGATCCAACAAAAATACGTGAATGTTTGGATTCAGAGCATGCACAAATGCAAAAACTGGAAACCTGCGTCAAGGATAAAGTTGGAGGAATACTTGGGTAATCTGTTAAATTCAATGCAAATTCTGTCTAATGTACCGATTCTTTAGCAAAAATTTTTTTATTGCTTTCTCAACTAAGTTTTGCTTGAAGTAATTGTCGACTAAGTAAATTATAAGCAGAAGCAGTAATGTATAGGTAATTATATACCGTTTTTAGCTGCACAAATGATGAAAATCCGAAAAATTTGACCATTCCACTGATTCCATTGATTGAAACACCAGAGTTGCCCAGTCAGAGTAATACAAGTAAAACTGACGTAACAACAAC